TCTCTCTCTCTCTCTCTCTCTCTTCTCTCTCTCAGGAGGAAACAAGAGACGCACAAACAAACCCTCCCCCCCCCCCGCCATTTGAAAGTATCTTCTTGTCCCATTGGTCCTTCTGGTCAGGTGCCAACTAGGTTAATTGAACTGATTAACCCCTTACAGGTAAAATGATTCTGTACCTCGGTCTGTACCTCTTGCCAGGTGGGATTTTATGTTATTGCTTACATAAAGGTTGTTACCGTTCCCTTTATATTTATATCTCAAACACTCTGTCTTAAACAGTGAATGTTCTTTTAACAGTCTCAGCAGTTACATACCTAAAATCTTCCTAATATGATCATGGACCAAAACAAGTTAAAAATTTGCAGGTGCAAAAGTTTATTCCCTCTGCAGCTAGAAATGAATGGAAAGCCCTTTAAATGAAAGGGGGGTGACAGCTCTTTTTTTAATTTAACTTGAGTAAGGAACAGTCAGGAAAGGAACAAATTTTCCCTGCATTTCTGTTGCTCAACATTCTAATTTTATATTGGGCCCAGGAAGTTTGAGCATTACATATTTTCAAAATACCACTGTTCTTTGAGGCTGTAAGAAGCACAGCGGGTGGCAGAGGGAAGAATAATGTGGCCAGGAGAACATCTGGCTTGGCAGTTGTTGACATATTTGAGTATTATTCCTTAGAGGATGAAAAGCGATTGCTGATAGGACAGACTTGAAGGGGATTGGGGGGGGGGTTCAACATCTTTTCTGTTCGATTGGTTGGTGTTGTTTTCTAGCATCCATGAGCCTAAGCTTGGAGCCCAGCCACTGAACATCCTGTTTTCACTGAACTTGTCTCTTTCTCTAGGCTTCTTCTCCTCTCCTCTGGTCACAAAGCTACTGCAATAACTCCAAGGTAAGGATCTGAAATGTAGCTTTTTAGTTGATTTCTCACTTGGGATTTGTACTGTTGAGCGAGAGGCATCGAGCATCCTAAGCAGATGAATAAGAATGTAGCAAAGGCATTTAAAAATCAGCTTTTTACACAGCTACTTGCTTGTAAAAGGAAGGAGAATGCTCTCACAAAGTTCCAGTAACAGGTTTTCTGAACTCTGAGAAGGTTAGTCTAACTTGCTGTGTCACTCATATCCTTGCTTCAGTATTTGAGTTTATGTGCTGCAAGCACGAAGCAGAGTGTGTATCTATGTACTATGTGGGCCCAATCCTGCTCCCATTGAAATCAATGGGAGTTTTGCCATTGACTTCATTGGAAGCTGGATCAGGCCCTTGGTGTGCACACATGTGTTGAGGGCAGTTACTGTGGCAGCCAAACAGGAATTAATTTATGCTTCTAGTGAATTTGTGAGCCAGCCCCAGCCTTCTCTTACCAAGCCTTCTGGTGAAAGGGAACTATATGGGGAGCCTAGTAACATACTGTGATAGTGTCCAAGCCCTTCACTTCTGGACTGTGGGTTCAAATCTTGATTACCAGCAGGTCACAAGTGGAAAGGAGCTGAGCTCCCATTCCTTGGTACCACACAAGGGAGCTGGTGCTTCTTTGCCCAAGTGCTTTCCACAAAGACAGAAGAAGGTGATAACTGGACGGTATAAAGTACAGACAGGAATGAATGGGTGGGGTGCACGAATATGAGTGGGAAGGAAAGAGAGGGCGGGTCTAGAACAGCTCGCAGTGATACAGGTCAGAACTGAGAGATCTAATAATATAATAATAATAATATAATATATGGAGATATACCTATCCCATAGAGCTGGAAGGGACCCCGAAAGGTCATTGAGTCCAGCCCCCTGCCTTCACTAGCAGGACCAATTTTGCCCCAGATCCCTAAGTGGCCCCCTTAAGGGCTGAACTCACAACCCTGGGTTTGTTTAGCAGGCCAATGCTCAAACCACAGAGCTATCCCTCCCCCTATCCCAGGACTGCCCTAGAAGGGGATGCAGTATGTCAGAAATGACAGAGGTGTCTGTGTGCGTGATATCCATGAGTCCTTTCTGAAATGCCCCAGTTCTCTGTCATTATCACATGTTGTATAGTGCAGAAGACTGAGGTTGACTCATGAAATTTCTCTTGTAATGACATTAATACAGAACTGAGAAACAGCTTCCACACATTTGGGCTCAACATACTTTAAGCTTTGGAGAATGGAGCTGATACTGGGTTATCAGTAACTGTACCTGAATCATGCTGCTCAGTGACAGAGTCCTGGGCAGCAGGGTCTGGGATTGCTATGGAGGCATCACATTCAGCCCCTGGAGAAGGCAGTGCCTCATGTTGCTCATGAACCTCTTCCAGCTGACCCAGGGGTCGTGTTGATAGACTCCAGGGGGAAGCAGCATCCTACAGCTGGGCAGATAGTTCCACCCAACATGAGTCCAGAGGGGAGGAATAAAGAGGCAAAGTGGAACCTCAGAGAACATTTACCTCCCCCTCCCAGAAAACATGGTCCAGTTGACAGCCATGCAGTCATATCATCTCACTTGTGACTCTCCAAATCATCAAGGTAATGTGGAGAGAGGAGAAAATCTCCCACACCCAGAAGGATAGGTGAAGTCTAAAAGACCACCTAAAGCTCTGGGATGAAGACTGTGGTCAAAAGCTCTGCTCCTCTGGCACATAGGAAGTTAATACATGGGTATTTCCCATCCTTATGTGAGGCAGAGTTTTCTGAATTCCCTCAGGAACTAAGGACCATCACAAACTTCACCACTTTGTGCTCCAAATGCAAGGTATTTTTCTTTGACCTCGCCTTCTCTAACATAAATACATGGCAATATGTATATTAAAATTATTATATTATGTTAAAAAACCTCTACCAAAAACAAGACACTCCACAATATACCCTTCTCCCCTAGGGAGAAGATGAGAGAACAAACAACATGTGACAAGTATCAGAGGGGTAGCCGTGTTAGTCTGAATCTGTAAAAAGCAACAGAGGGTCCTGTGGCACCTTTGAGACTAACAGAAGTACTGGGAGCATAAGCTTTCGTGGGTAAGAACCTCACTTCTTCAGATGCAAGTCATCTGAACATGTGACAGACAGTCATGTTTCTTAATGCACTATTGGAAGGCGTTCAGATGAGTGATGCGCGCAGTAGAAGAGCCTATATTTAATAGAATAGGTCAATGGTGAGAGGAGTCGGGCACTTTCTCTAGGAAATTCCAGTGCTCAGGGAAGTTACAAAATGAGCTTTAATAGAGTGGTGTGACATGCCATGGAAAACTGCCCTGCTTCAGATTTGCAGCCTTGAGGGTTTTAATTTGCATTCTTACCCTTTCTCCCTCTTGTAGGCTTGCTAGAGATTAACAGAAGCCAATCAGAACGCGAACCCACCACTTGACACCTGAAGGATGGATGGCTCAAAAGAGAAGATCATCCTGAATGTTGGAGGAATCAGACATGAGACATACTGCAGCACCCTCCGGACCTTCCCAGGGACCAAGCTCTGCAACCTCACAGAGCCCAATGCCAGCACACTGTATGATTATAACCCTACCACCAAAGAATTCTTCTTTGACAGGAGTGCTCAGCTCTTTGGCTATGTGTTGAGCTATTACAGGACCAAACACCTCCATTGTCCTGTAGACACCTGCAGATCAATCTTAGAGGAAGAGCTGGCTTTCTGGGAGATAAGTGATGCACAGCTGGCCCCCTGCTGTTGGCTGAAGCTGACCAACAAAGACAGCCAGCCGGAGGAATTTAATGTTTGGGATGAGAACGAACATGCTGATGACCAGTGCCTCATAGTCCAAGTGGAAAGAAGGGATTTCAGCTGGAGGGCCAGGTGGCAGCCAAAGATCTGGTCTATCTTTGAAAAGCCCTTTTCCTCTTTAAGTGCCAAGGTAATGCTCCCAGTGGGGAACCAGATAGATTCGTCAGCGTGAGCCTGAATCTGTGGGGGTGGAAAAAGCTTAGGAACTTGCAGCTCTAGAGCACGGGTTCAGAGTCCTGCTTACAGCTACAGTACTTGAACAATTAAATAAAACATCCCAGAATAACAACTTGATTCACCAATATTTTTAGGGTGCCGTTCAGCTTGCTCTGATTCAGGTAGGTGATGTTGCTATTAGTTACACAGAAGTATTTGCCTTGGTATTCCAAGGCAATTTGTGAATCCTAGAGGTTTCATGAGTTTTAGCACTAATGATTATTCCTCTGAAAATTCATACTAGAAATGAGCTATTTACTATGAGTTATTTTTATATTATAAGATTTTACTAATCTCACTTGGGAGCCGGAACCAGACCATGTGATTTAGGTGACCCCCTTCCTCATTCAACGTGACTAATAAACAATTGAAGTGATCATTTCATAAACAAGCTATAGCAGTGGTGGGCAACCTGCGGCCCATCAGGGTATGCTGATTGCGGGCAGTGAGACATGTTGCTGACATTGACCGTCTACAGGCACGGCCCCCCGCACCTCCCAGTAGCCACGGTTCGCCGTTCCTGGCCAATGGGAGCTGCGGGAAGCGGCGGGCCGTGCTGCTGCTGCTTCCCGCAGCTCCCATTGGCCAGGAACGGCGAACCGTGGCCACTGGGAGCTGCTGGGGCCTGTGCCTGCGGACAGTCAACATCAGCCATATGTCTCGCAGCCCACAATCAGCTTAGCCTGATGGGCCGCATACGACCCACGGGCCACAGGTTGCCCACCACTGACCCATAGGCTCTAAATTATTCCTCCAAAGCATTCGGCAAATATTTTTGAAAATAAGGATCAGTTCATGTCTCCCTGCTAGTGCTGGGCCGTGGCTACGGCGCTTTGCTGTGCCCCACTGCTCTGCATGCTAGGGCTGTGCATTTCCTACTGTGTTGTGTACAGTTAAAAGTGCATTTCATTAATTCCGCTCCTCTCAGAACAGGCACTTGGGGCAGCAACTGCAGGTTTGGAGAAGGCAGAGGACATTTTCCAGTCTGTCTAGAACAGCTGAGTCGCTTGAGCCAGCACTTCGTGCTAGGGCAATTTCAGTGAATCTGTGCATGTTGCTCTAGGTGTCAGATGTCTCCCCTTCCCTACAAGTCCAGATGCTAATAGTTCACATTATTTTCCTTGACCCAGATCCTCCTCTTGGCCTTGGACAGGTAAGGATGGAAAAGAAAAAGAAACCTTCAATGTGTGAATCTATTCCTAGATGGAAATTGGGTAAAAGTTAGTCTAGGAAAAGGTAATGTTTGATGCTGAGAATCCTGGATGTGAAGTGAGGCTTTGAAGTTTTGTGATACCCTCACACTGACCTGATCCTACGTCTGACCTTTCTGTCCCTCTGCAGTGCCTGGCTATTATTTCTCTGCTGTTCATCATTGGAATCGTCATCATATTCTGTGAGGAGACTAAGGCCCAGTACGAGTACTCTGCTGCTAACTTGACCGTTTTCGGCCATTCCGAAGTAATGCACAGCATCCATGAGCCTTATTATCACCAGGCCCCTTACCTGCTCCACCTGGAGCTGTTCTGTGTCCTCTGGTTCACTTTTGAGTTTTCCATGCGATTTTTCTTCTGTCCAGACAAAAAGAAATTCCTCAGGAATCCTCTGAATGTGGCTGATTTCCTCTCCCTCTTCCCAGTTTACATTGAACTCTTCAGCGCCGAGCAGATTCAGAAAATGCCTAGCCTAGCACTTTGGCTGGGGTTTGTCCGCGTAGTCTACCTCCTCAAACTCCTGAAGATATTCAAGCTAATAGAGACCCCTCTGATCCTGAGAGTCCTATCCTACACGCTCAAGTCCATCATCCAAGAGATCTGCTTCCTGCTGATCATCCTGGCCTTTGAAACCCTCTTCTTTGGTTCTCTCTTTTTCTATAGCGAGTTGCTGGGTATTCATTCTTCTTACCGGGCAGATTTGCACTTCACAGACATTAACATTTGCTTCTGGTGGGCTCTGATCACGCTAACCACTGTGGGCTATGGCGACATCATCCCTCTCACCATCTTTGGCCAGGTGATGGCAGCCTTTGCTGCAATATTTGGCATGTTAACTATTATCATTCCAATCCCCATTTTCCTGGTCAAGTTTAAGGGCTATTATGCCACTGCCATAAACAAACAGAAGCTGAAAATGAGCAAAAAGCAATAATGTGATTGAGTTCAGACCATTGCTGCCTTGGGGCACTTCAGAATTAATTCCAGTGTGGTTTGTTTCCACCACTTTGTGGGAAGAGCAACTCCTATGAAAAGTCCTTGCCACATTCATTAAGACTGCCTCCTTGCTCCGTTGGTATATTTCAAATCAATGTCAGGTACCCAGATCTGAGTTATAGCTTTCTATTTTAGTGGCTAATGCTCTTTATGGCCTATCCCTATATCAAACAGCACTACACTGACACTCAGCGTGACCCAACTAGCACTGAAATCTCACCTATCCCTTGTCAGAACAAGATGAGAAAATTCACTTTGGACAGTTTCATCAACACACAAGATTTTTTTTTTCCCACCAGCAGGAAAAAACAATGCTGTTCACTGTGCAAAGCTATGATAAGTGATTCCCAGAGAAGGCAGGGATGAAGGGCTGCACTGAAGTATAAACCAAGAATCTGCAACGTGCTGAATGCTCTCAACCCCAGTGATGCCGGTTCAAAGTGGGGCCTAACTAGGGTGACCAGACAGCAAATGTGAAAAATCGGGACAGAGGGTGGGGAGAAATAGGAGCCTATATAAGAAAAAGACCCCAAAATCGGGACATCTGGTCACCTTAGGCCTAACAGAAAAATGTATGAGGTGCACATCCTGGCAACAGCCTTCTGCACACTCTCTGGGCCTGATAATCAGCTGGTGTAAATCAGTGCAGCTCCACTGACTTCAAAGAAGCTGTGCTGATTTACCCCGTCGGAGGATATGGGTCTGTGTGCCTCAGAGGGACAATCACACCTCCATTTTCATAGATGCCCTCTTTATGGAGAGAAATGTGTAGCTAAAATCTAAGGGTCAGATTTCGTCCCTAGCATCTGCTCCCAGAGGGGGATCTTCCACATGTGAGATCTCACGGTGCATGGAATTGGGAGAGTCAGCTATCTCAATGGCACTGGACCCCACCAAGAGGCTTTTACTGAATCCTGGTGTTGAAGACTGCGTGGACAGTGAGGCAACCTGCATTAGGTTGTGGCAGGCTGGGAGGAGAAGAGACATGTAGTAGGGCTACCATACGTCCGGATTTTCCCGGACATGTCCGGCTTTTTGGGCTCCAAATCCCCGTCCGGGGGGAAATCCCAAAA